CACGGCCTCGATGGGCAGCAGGCACGGCCGCTCCAGGTCCCGCGGGGGTTGGGGGATGTGCGAGTCCACGGCCTCGAGGAGCTTCAGAATGGAGTGCAGCCCCAGCTCGGGGTCACGGTCCTGCAGGTGAGACAGGTGAGATACAGGTGTGACACGTGTGACACGTGTGACACAGGTGTGACACAGGTGTGACACAGCCCCAGGAGCTTCAGCACGGAGTGCAGCCCCAGCTCGGGGTCACGGTCCTGACAGGTGAGGGACAGGTGAGACAGGTGTGATACACGTGTGACACGTGTGACAGAGGTGTGACAGGTGTGACAGAGCCCCAGGAGCTTCAGAACAGAGTGCAGCCCCAGCTCGGGGTCACGGTCCTGCAGGTGAGACAGGTGAGACACAGGTGTGACACAGGTGTGATGGGACAGGTAGGGACAAGGGGGACAGGTGTGCCCAGGTGTGCCTGCAGTGCACACAACGCCGACCCCACCACCACGGGGGGTTGGTTATCAATCTCTATTGATCAGTACTGATCACTATCGATCACTATTGATCAGTAATCACTCCCAGGTGTCCCCCAGGTGCCCCCAGCTGTACCTGCAGGGCGCACAGCGCCGACCCCACCACCACGGGCGTTCTCTCGCCGTCGAAGCCGAACTCGCTCAGCAGCTCCCGCACCTCCAGCTCCACCAGCGGCAGCAGCTCGGGGTCAGGTACGGCGTCCGCCTTGTTCAGGTACACAACGACGTGCTGGACCCCCACCTGGGCAGGTGAGACAGGTGAGAGACAGGTGAGAGACCCCAAACCCACACCTGAACCCACACCTGAACCCACACCCAGCACCGTGTCCGCCTTGTTCAGGTACACCACCACGTGCTGGACACCCACCTGCGCAGGTGAGACAGGTGAGGGACACACCCTGAGCTGGGACACACCTGAACCCACACCTGACCCCAAACCCAGCCCCACCCCCGGCACGGCGTCCGCCTTGTTCAGGTACACCACGACGTGCTGGACGCCCACCTGGGCAGGTGAGACAGGTGAGGGACAGGTGAGAGACCCCAAACCCACACCTGAACCCACACCTGACCCCAAACCCAGCCCCACCCCCGGCACCGCATCCGCCCTGTTCAGGTACACCACCACGTGCTGCACCCCCACCTGCGCAGGTGAGACAGGTGAGGCCACGCCCCTTTGCGCTACACGAAATGCAGCCAATGGGAGGCAGCACAGCTGCTTTGGCCACGCCCCTTTGCCTGTGTGGCCACACCTCTGTTACCTGGCCACACCCCCTTTCCCACCTGCCGGGCCAGCAGCAGGTGCTGTGTGTGAGCTGGCCCCGCCCCCCGGGTGGCCACGCCCATTTTACCTGTCTGGCCAGCAGCAGGTGCTGTATCTCAGCTGGCCCCGCCCCCCGGGGCTGGCCCCGCCCCGTTTCCCTGGCCCCGCCCCTTTCTCACCTGCCGGGCCAGCAGCAGGTGCTGTGTGTGAGCTGGCCCCGCCCCCCGGGTGGCCACGCCCATTTTACCTGTCTGGCCAGCAGCAGGTGCTGTATCTCAGCTGGCCCCGCCCCCCGGGGCTGGCCCCGCCCCGTTTCCCTGGCCCCGCCCCTTTCTCACCTGCCGGGCCAGCAGCAGGTGCTGTGTGTGAGCTGGCCCCGCCCCCCGGGTGGCCACGCCCATTTTACCTGTCTGGCCAGCAGCAGGTGCTGTATCTCAGCTGGCCCCGCCCCCCGGGGCTGGCCCCGCCCCGTTTCCCTGGCCCCGCCCCTTTCTCACCTGCCGGGCCAGCAGCAGGTGCTGTGTGTGAGCTGGCCCCGCCCCCCGGGTGGCCACGCCCATTTTACCTGTCTGGCCAGCAGCAGGTGCTGTATCTCAGCTGGCCCCGCCCCCCGGGGCTGGCCCCGCCCCGTTTCCCTGGCCCCGCCCCTTTCTCACCTGCCGGGCCAGCAGCAGGTGCTGTGTGTGAGCTGGCCCCGCCCCCCGGGTGGCCACGCCCATTTTACCTGTCTGGCCAGCAGCAGGTGCTGTATCTCAGCTGGCCCCGCCCCCCGGGGCTGGCCCCGCCCCGTTTCCCTGGCCCCGCCCCTTTCTCACCTGCCGGGCCAGCAGCAGGTGCTGTGTGTGAGCTGGCCCCGCCCCCCGGGTGGCCACGCCCATTTTACCTGTCTGGCCAGCAGCAGGTGCTGTATCTCAGCTGGCCCCGCCCCCCGGGGATTTGGGGGGGTTTTGGGGGGGATTCAGGGATTTTTGTGGGATTCTTGGGGTAATTTTTGGGGATTTTGGGGGAATTTTTGGGAATTTGGGGGGATTCAGGGATTTTTGTGGGATTTTTGGGGGAATTTTTCTGAAAATTTAGGGGATTTCGGGGGATTTGGGGATGTTTTGGGGAATTTTGGGTGATTTTAGGGGGGATTTTCGGGGATTTTTGGGGTAATTTGGGGATTTCAGGAGGACTTCTCCCAAATTCAGGTTTTCCCCCAAAACTCAAGTTTTTTTCCCCAAAATTACATTTTTTCCCCCAGACTTGGAGCTTTTTACCCAAA